CTTCATCTTCGGCCATGCTAAGGATCAGAGCTTTAGAATCCTTGTAAGAAAAGGAGGATAAGGAATTGTCCCTCCAACTTATTGGTGATTCAAGGATGAATCATCTTGAAGAGAGAGGGAATGATACGATCTAAGCAAGGTCAAATTTGAATTTTGATGTAAAATGTTCAACTATCCAGTTTTACGGCAATAGTCATAATTCTCAATCCGACCGTTGGATCGAGCAGAAATTTTACATGGAGTCTCCTGAAATATTACCTTGGGTTAACATTTCAAGTTAATCGGAGTTCGGGAAGGTATCTCAATACGGGTCAACAGAGGCTGTACGAATTTTGTTATTTACTTCGTTTTGACTTGTGGACTTCCTATTTGGCTAGGATTCTTTTCCTAAAGGGATGTGGCAGCTTATTTTGGAAATATACTAATTCTACAAGGATGTTTAATGGGCTGCAACATAGTTTCCAAGTGTGGCAAGGATTCATAATTATTTCAGAATCCTTTTCTTACAAGGATTCCTTATTCATCTGAGCTGCAAAAGGAAAGAAGACTTTAGAATACATTCTACCTTCAGATCAGATTTCCTAGTCTATTTGAGACTTCTTAATAGTGACAAATCTGATTCTAGCATATTTAAGATAGTAATTTTCGGATTTTTATATTTTTATTATTTTCTTCTTAGTCTTTAGGTTATTATTACTCATTTGGGTCAATTGTAAGTGGGCTACATATAAGTCCACCTAAGGGGGGTCCATTAGGGTTTCTTTAAGTCTAGAATCAATATAAATATAGGCATAACCAAACATGTAGGGAAGACTATTTAGATAAATAAAACTTCTTGTTTGCCGCACTTTGTGTGTATGTGTGTTGGTGAGATAATCTCCCTTCCTTGGTTCTCTAAAGAACTGAAAACGACTTATCGAAGAACAACTGTCTTCGTGGCGTCATCCTTATACTTCTCGTTCGCGAATCAATATTCATTGGGTGGGGGTTTCCGTTTTTAATAGTGCTGGTGCCTAGGTACAAGTTATCTTTGTGTCACACTCCTATCAAACCTGATTTACTTGGCTTTCCGGGAATTGGCATCTTTGCGTGTGGGTTGCGTGACCATGTGATCACGAGGTTCGCATCAAATCTTGTTCCATTTTGTTATCCTTTTTATTCCTAGCCCCCCCTCCTTTTTTGGAAGACATACCTGATCCCAAGCCATTTTAGCCCCAGTAGTTCTCATATCTGAACCTGACCAAAGAAAGGATCTCATAATTTGCTCCACATTTTTATGACTTGCCCAGGTAAGAGGAAGAGAGATGCCCAATAGACCTGGATGGAAAATAAAACTGAATTAATCAGTTGTACTCGTCCTGCATACGAGAATGTTCTACAAGTCCAATGTCAAACTTCGATCCACGAGACCCTTACAATAAACAGCCTTTAGTCTGACGAGATAAGAGGCACTCCCAAATATTTCATACGGAGCTCCCCCTTTGCAAACCCAAGAATACGAATAATTTCTTCCCTCTCAGCATTTAACACATTATATAAGAAGATGTCACTTTTATTTGGATTTGGATACAGACCTGATAGATCTTGAAACTTTGTGAGCACAGTTTTGATCATACGAATTGAGTTTACATCTCCTTTGCTAAAAATCATCAAGTCGTCAGCAAAACAAAGATGAGAAATGTTGTCCTTCTTGCATCTCCAGTGGAACTTGAAGTTTTGGTTGGCACTCATCTTGCAGAATAGCCCCGAAAGGATTTCCATACATAGGACAAACAAATATGGAGAAAGTGGATCCCCTTGTCTCAGCCCTCTCCCCCCTGGAAAATAACCTGCAAGCTCACCATTGACGTTGATAGAGAATTGACATGATGTAACACAAACCATGATCCAATCAATGACTGTTCTAGGGAATCCCATTTTTCTTAACATAGCGTCAACGAAATCCCACCGAACCGAGTCATAAGCCTTCATCAGATCTACTTTCATAGCACAACGGGCAGGTCCCCTAGATTTATGATAGCCTTTCATTAGTTCCTGAGATAAAAGAATGTTGTCCCTGATTCTCCGTCCAGAGATAAAAGCAATCTGATACGGACCTACTAAGGATAGCAAAACAGCTTTGATTCTCCCAGCTAGAATCTTAGCAATGCATTTGTACACGGTATTGCAGCAAGATATAGGACGAAAAGCTGTCAACCTCGTAGGATTGACAACTTTAGGAATAAGGGAAATGGATGTAGCATTCTCCGAGTCTGAAAGAAGGAGCTAACATCGTTGATTACATCTTCCCCAACTATGTGCCACATTTTTTTTTTGGTAAGTTGACGTATGCCATCCGGACCAGGGGCTTTGTTGTTCTTCAAACTAAACATAGCATGCTTAATCTCCTCCCTTGTTACATCTTGTGCTAATACATGTTGTTGCGTTGAAGACAGTTTCAAGTTAATTGCCGATTCCATCTCTTCCTCATTCAGAACCCTAGGCATCTGTTCCACTCTTAACACACGCTGGAAGTACGCAACTACTTCTGATTTAACTTCCTCATGTCCTTTGACAACCTCTCCATCCTCCCCCTCCATGCTCGTTGGATTCTTTTATTTTCATCTGTTGGTAGAACGTTCCTCATCAAATCAAGCTTATCACGGATGATACATTCAATTTGATGAAAGACCAAATTCTGAGTTCTAGATATTCCAGCAAAGTTCCTTGCATTCCTTTCTTGCCAGATATGATACACTGTAGCTGCAAAACTGAGTTTACGAGAAAAATTGATGAAACTTTTGCCATGCCAAGTGACAGTGGCCCATCGAATCCATTCATCCCATCCTTTTGTCATTCTTGGAATGTTGCATCTGTCACAAACATCCCACCAGATCGCTTTAGTATAGGAGCATTCAAAGAACAAGTGGTTGTGATCTTCGTTGTTGCGGAGACAGAGTGAGCATCTATTGGGACCATGTATACCAAATCGATGAAGTCTATCTTGAGTTGTCAGTTTATGTTGGACAGCCACCCAAAGAAGAAACGAATGTCTTGGAACAGCATTCTTGAACCACACAATGTCATGCCATTCGACCATCGTATGATGAAATCTTAGTTGTTCCCAAGCTATTTTGATGGAGAATCTGTGATTTGGTGAATCCAGCCAAACAATCTCATCATTTTTCCATTGGTTTAGAAGTATTCTCGTGCTCACGATTAAGATTTACAACTTGCAGTCAATCTTGAGATCGCTTAAGTTAGGAAGTATTCTCGTGCTCTTACGATTAAGATTTACTCTTTTTATTTGATCTAGAGCCGCGATCTTCCTTACCTCGCTTTTTCCCGCTCCTACTACTCTCTTGCTTTCCATGTTTCTCTGGTTTAACTCTACTGGATTTTACACTAATAACACTACCTGGGTTTATCTTTCCACCATGTTTTTGCAAAGCATCGTCGAACTCTTCTTTTCCCCCCTCAATTGCGTACTGTTGAAGGAATTCTGGATTCAGCAAACCCTCCATCTTGGATTTCATCCCATCCTACAGTCAGTTTTGCACTTTGAGAAAAAAAATAACAGATACAAAGATTAAACTTTAAAGAGAGGAAAGATAAAGAAAACACACCTCAACTTGCTTTGCTGCTTCCTTTAGATCATCATCCACCGATATGCTGTGAGGTCTCAGCTCCCTCTGAAAATTTTGTTCACATAAGGACTTTAGATTGCTCTGAATTAACATGTTATTACGCTAGCAGCCATAGATAGAATTGCATAAATCTTGTGCTAGAAAAGGAGGAAAACTGCAATGTAAGAATCTGTCTGGCCTCTTGATGATGAAACTGAATGAAGAAAAAGGATTCATGTGGCCAAGTATTGCTAGCCTCAACACTTAGCTTAGTTGAGTAAATGATGGAGAAAAGGGATAGTTTTCATTGGCTAGGAATTATGGAATATTTAAAAAAAAAAAAAAGAATATTTATTGGATATATATACTTGGATTGAACAGAGCTCACGTTGCAAATATGTAATAGACATCTATATATGGGCAATATTTTTCATCGTGGTGTATACAAAGTTCAGGCTCTCTATCTTACCTCTTTTAACCTGGGTAGGGTTGATTCTATGTCTTTTGATGCAATACCATGAAGATATTTGTAGAACTTCTTCATAACCTTCATAAAAAGTGACAAAATTTGTGTTCTTTCCAACTTCATTTGTTCCTGTAATAAAAAATCAGTAGCACCCTCAGTTTTGACATGGTAGACAAGCATAAAAAGTAATATGAATTGGTTTAGAATAAACTAAACTATATTTACAACTTGAAGTATTCGGCCCTATCATTGGTTTAGAATTGGAAGGAATAGCTTCTACAATGGGTAGCCAGCCAATAACGTGAGTGGTAGGAATTTTCCATTCTGAGTTATGAATCAGCATATTCACCTTCGCGTTCTTTTCCATACCTGAATCATAGATGAATCTATCGCCGTAAGAATCTGCGAGCGGGCTGTGAGGATGCCAATTGTCAAACCATAGAGAAGTTGTCCTGCCATCCCCTATGATGTACTTCATCTTTGGCCATGCTAAGGACATTGATTCGACCAAGTATAATGCAGGCCTGAATATCAAAGATCATCCACTTTCGCTTCTTGAATACATGTTTCCAATCTGTCCATATGACCAGCCCACGAAGTAGACCCTCCTAACCTGTCTGATTGGTAGCGGCCACGAAGTAGACCCTCCTAACACGAAGTAGACCCTCCTAACTTGTCTGATTGGTAGCGGATAGCATTAAAGTCGCCCATAATAATCCATGGGCTGGACTCCCATCCATCACTACGACTCACTATATCAGACCATAATACCTCACGTAAGGAAGCGTTATTGTCTCCGTATATAATTGAAGCATTGAAACAGATATTGGTAGCTAATATAGTGACAGAAACATGAATAGCCTGGTCTGACATTCCGAGGACATCAACCTTCACCACATCAGAATTCCAACAAACCCAAATACGACCACGACAAGAGAAATCATAATTATACAAGAAGGGCCAATTACGCAGAAGAAGTTGAGAAACATTATATTTATTCTCGTCTCTAACCCGAGTTTCAACCAAACCGAAAAGAGTCATCCTCTCTTGATGGATGAGCTGACGCAATGCTGAATGCTTTATGGGATCATTCAAACCTCTTACATTCCAACATCCAATAATCATAAGAAAATAGAGAGGAGTACAAACAGCAACACAAAGATTACCTCGACGTGCCCCCAGGCGAGGAGACAGATTTCTTATTCTTCTTTGAAGAGTTTTTCGGTGGAATTCAGAGTTTGTGGGCTTGTCGGGATTGGTGACGTCCACTCCTTATCGGTTCGTTCCCCATCTGTATCACCTCCCATTGCGTCAAATCTACATTCAGCTCATGACTATTAACGAAAAGAACCTGGTTCACGGTCGCACAATCAGATGTATTGGAGATGGCTAAACTTTGATCTGAAGACATGTACCCCCCTGCTCCTGCTTCATGTCTCCTTGTGAACTCTTCAAAACAAGAGGAGATGTAGGATTTTCATCTTCATAACAATCAGCATTGCTCACATCTGATGCAGCCTTCTCATTGATATTACAATCAGAAATATTTGTACCAGATGTCGAACAACCATTCTCATTACAGTTACGCACTTTAGATGCCAAAGTGCCATTCTCACCACTCACAGAACCCTTATTTCGTTTAGCAACTACCTGCCATTGAAACTGATTCTGTTTTTTTTTTTTGGTAAGTTGACGTATATATTAAAGGAAAACGATACAAAGATTATAAGGGGCATACCCCAGATTTACAATGAGAATATAAACG